TTCAGCTCAAGCTTCATGCCTACTCCTGTACAGGAAGCAAAGAGAATCACAGGAAGGAAAGGTAGCCCATTTCCATGCCGATTGAACCCATTGCACTCTAGGATGTGGGCCAGCATATAATTGTAGATAATACTGAATGTGTTTTTGGCGGCTACATTGTTCAGTCATTTGTCAAAGCCAAATCAGATTAAAGTTTGATTACAATTGCTCGAGCACGTGCCAAGGAAACACTAAACACCCTAAGAAACCTTTAAAATAAGTTGATAAAGACCCCTGCCGCCACAGCATGCATCTTCAAACGTGTCTCTTGAGACCACTTGAGATCGTATTTCAAAAGGGAGGACTCCAATTGCAAAAATGCATGATTTTGGCCTACATGCATCACTCACCATGTCTGAGTGTTACTGAATGTGGTTAAAATGCATGAAAGTAAAATAAATACATAAAAAACAGGAGCTTTTAATGCGTATTGTTAGGCATTAGATGAACTCTGGCTGCAGGGAGTTTTTTAAACTTGTCATTTGTTTTATCATTTGGGGTTTTTAGTTGTTTGCAGCTAAACTGGCGAAGTGGTTGGCACTACTGTCGCCTCACAGCAAGAAGGTCTCTACTTCAAGTCCCAGCTGGGTCAGTTGCCATTTCTTTGTGGAGTTTTCATGTTTTACCCATGTTCATGTGGGTTTCCTCAGGGTGCTCCGGTTTCCCCTGTCCAGACATGTGGCATAGGTGAATTGAATAAACTAAATTGGCCATATTAGAATTAGAAGGGCATCCACTGTATAAAACATATGCTGGTTAAGTTGGCGGTTCATTACGATGCAACCCCTGATGAATAAAGTAACTAAGCCGAAAGGAAATGAAATAAAAATACACTGGCAAAGTTTAAAGCCATTCTTTTAAAACAGTTGTTGATTTATAGGTAAGTAGGCAATCCTTCAATCTCATCCAGGATGCTGTATGGAACACTAGGTGGATGCCATTTTGACTAAATCTTCCAAAACAGACGTAATGTGTTGCAATGAGTTTATGAAACTAGTCCCATTATAAAAGCACCACCAGTCCAGACAGCTTCAGCTGAGTACTGGCAAGTCAAAACCAATCAATTGCTGGTGCCAAGATTTGAGTTCAGTGAGAGCTTAGATCATAAAACGACCGCCAAGTTCTGCCCCCTGAATTGGCACATAGCTGCACCAGCATTTATCAGCATCATATATGTTTTCTCTTAGAATTAGATTGTTTCACATAGATTAATACAGGCAAATTGAGATTGCAGGGTACTTATTTATCTATTTTTTTACCAGAGATAATTAATATATATAATAGCACAAAAAAAATTATATTTGCCATCTAGCTATCTTTTAATTTTCAGATTTCCAAAGAAACAGGTAATCATAAAATCACATAATCTGTTATATATTCATTAAATTTATGTATTCTAAAAACACAAAAGAATATATATATATATATATATATATATATATGTATATATATATATTCTTTTGTATACATGCATATATGCATGTTTGTCTGGCAAGTAAGTACTCTTTTTGTTTTCAGGTGATAGTTAAAAACAAGTTTGGAATGAGTAGAATAGTCAAAATAAGTGATTCCATTGTTCTTCTTTGTGTGCTTACTACAAAAATACAATGGAAATCAGATTCTTTTTGGCAAGCAACCTCATATGCACAGACACTGACTACTTTGACAATAATGGATACCTCATATATATATATATATATATATATATATATATATATATATATATATATATAGATAACGAATCTGATTTCCATTGTATTTTTGTAGTAAGCACACAAAGAAGAACAATGGAATCACTTATTATGACTATGCTACTCATTCCAAACTTTTTAACTATCACCTGAAAACAAAAAGAGTACTAACTTGCCAGACAAACATGCATACACTGCCTACAGTACCTAGGTAGAAGCTCTATCCTGACAGCTCTGACAAGCCAAGGAATTTTACATCAATGCTACTCTCCCCCAACACACACACACACGCATACTGCCCTGCCTTGGCCTGCAGTAATGTGAATCACCTCCACACATTCACACACCTGTAGGGCATGTGTTACTGACAAGCACATTTGTTGTGTTTCAACACAGCCAGTCTGTCTGCCAAGCGTATGATACACTCTGAGGATATGAGTCAGTGCGTGCACACACAAACAAAAAAAAACACTTTTATACACTGCACTGGGTGTGGTTTGAAATACTTGAAATCCATCATAAATCCTAAAAATCAAATGTTGTTATATAAATTGCACAATTTAGCTGAGAGGGGTTGCACAATGTGAGCTTTGCTAATAAACTGCAGTTTGTCTTACTAAAATTGTTTATCTGCTAACCAAAGTTGTTTAAATTACAGGACTCGTTAAAGGGATGGTTCAATCAAAACTGAAAATTCTGTCATTATTTATTCCACCATCTCATTTCACAAACCTGTTTGAGTTTTATTTTTCTCTTGAACACAAAAAAGATATTTTGAAAAATGCTGAAAACCTGTAACCATTTACTTCCATAGTTTTTGTTTTTCCTACTATGAAAGTCAATTATTGCAGGTTTCTGTAACACTTTAGTTTATGTCACCGTCCATGCTTTATCTACTGGCTTTTTGCTTCCCTATTATTAACTGTTCATTAGTTATTATAAAGCTTGATCGTATTCTGCATTCCTAATCCTTCTCAACATCTTCCTCAATAAACAACTATCTAGTAGTTTATTAAGCTAGTGGTTAGTTATTCATTAATTCATTCATTTTCCATAGGCTCGATTTCAGAGGTCACCAGAGTGAAATGAACCGCCAACTGTTCCGGCATATGCTTTAAGCAGTGGATGCCCTTCCAGCCGCAAACCAGTACTGGGAAACACCCATCCACTCTCATTCACATACACTACGGCCAATTTAGTTTACTCAGTTTACTTATTGACCTTATTCGAAAATGCGGAAGTGCGCCTGTTTTCGCGATTGTTTTAGAACTTCCGATTCAGTCGCCTATGGGAGAAATGACTAGGAATAATAAACGGCAGAAAAAGGTCAAACTACTTGCTCTACAAACAAATGTTTGCATGACTATACAGACCAAGTATAATATTATAATAAGAAAATATCAGTTTGCAACATCAAACAGTGAAACGAGCAGTTTTAAATGTCTAAAAATGAATGGAAGTGAATGAGACCGGAAGTCTCGAGCCAAAAAGATTCAAATGGCTGCGCCCGCTCGTCGGCTAAGAATAAGGTGAATAGTGCATGTCCTTGGACTATGGGGGGAACCGGAGCACCAAAAGGGAAACACACGCCAACACAGGGAGAACATGCAAACTCCACAGAGAAATGTCAACTGGCCCAGACAGGACCCAAACCAGCGACCGTCTTGCTGTGAGATGTCAGTGCTAACCATTGAGCCAATGTGCCGCCTATTTTAGTCAATAGTCTGTTAATACTGTGAATTGTGACCTAAACTAAAGTATTACCCAGGTTTCTAACATTTTTCAAAATAACTTATTTTGTGTTTTACATAAAAAAAGAAACTCATACAGGTTTGGAACCATGTGCGGGTGAGTAAATGAGTCATTTGTGACTTTTAAATGAAGTGTTTCCTATAATATTCTTAATTTATCTTTTTTTGCTTCTCTGCAGTTTTGTTTATGTGGTAGTCCTGATTAGTCATCAAACTCAGCATTGTGGTACGTTGAGTATTTGGCTCTTGTGTGATTAACAGAATGCACATCTGTGCAGTTACACTAAACTCAACATCAGCCTCTTGCATAACTGGTGGACTTACTCTCTGCAGGATAAACATGAGGTCAGTCCTGGCGGTCTCTATGTTGAGCTACCAGGGTTGAAGGCAGTAGTGAGTTACAGGCTTCTGCACGCATTCTTTCACTTGCGTGTTAGGCTAGAAACTTACAATGCGTGTCTGTCGCTGCCATGGGCAACTCAGGTTTTTTGCTTTGTTTTGTTTTTAGTGAACCACCAAACTATCAAGACTGAAAATAAATTAAAAGGTATGCTAGAAACATTTTCTTAAATATGTGGGTCTCAATTAAGTGCTAAAGGTCCTCGCTGATACCATCTAATCTTAGTCACTGCTTGAGGTCAAAGAGGAAAATTAAAGGATGAAGAAGACCAGACATCACAGTGCAAAGACAAGGAGAAAATTTATATTTTTATATTTTTTACATTTATAAAGAACTTACTGAAGCTAAATATTCATTTAAACTTTTTTTCCAAGTAATGGGCACAGTTCTGGGTGGTTAAAGTTATGCCCTGAAATGACATAACGTCTTTGTTAGTTGTTGTGGATTTTAGCAGATGTCTTCATGCAGTTCATGCTGTGCTCATGCAGTTGTTATTCTAAAACATTCTGGTGCACTGCTGTTCATTGCATAACAAAGAGTTTGAAAATTAAATTCTCCATTAAGTCATACTGTGCCCTCAAATCTTTTATGACACATGAAAGTTTGAAAGGGAAAGTTGACAAGTATAGGAACAGTAAATACTATTTGAAAGGGTTGTAACAAGTGGAAGATGAGTGAATGATGACAGATTTTTTATAAATGATGATAAAACCTTCTTATTGAGTCATTGAGTTAATCGATTTGAGTATTTTTTTTAAACTCATGTGAATCAATCGTGAATAATGTAAATATTTATTTTAGAGTAAATAGTGTTAGTAAACCTAAATTGCAAAATATAGGCTACAAGGGTCACCTTATACAATGCACTTGCTTGTAACGTTAGTGTGGTGTAGTGAGGCGCGACGTTATCAGGTGTAAATAATCATTAATTATGAGGAAAACATTACTATTCTACATAACCTATAGGCAAGTAGATTAACAAGACGGAATACAATTGTAGGCTATTATATATGGTGTAGCTATTACAATTAAAATATTTGACTGTTCAAGCAAAGATTGCGGATTCTGCCTGCTGCAAGCCTTGTAGCCTATTGCAACAATGACCAAATAAATGCTTACATTCTTTTATCAGCTGGTCTGAGTTGTCGGTGCATGGCCATGGAGAACCCAAACAAGCTGTTGGCATCTCCCGTTTTCCTGATGACGTTCACTGTGTCCAGATTAAAGGCGGAGATCAGCGTCAATCCCAACAAACTGAGAAGCGGTACGGTTAAAGTCCTGTAAGATTCCATGTCTGTGTTCAGGTTCAGTTTGTGTGAGTTCTGGCTTTAGAGATGAGACTCAGTCCGCTTCTGGTGGGGTTGTGAATGTCTATAAGGGAGGAATCCCTCTTACGTCCCTCCTCTGCTTTTCCACCCTCCTCCGCCGTGCCTCTACCTGCTAATACAGCCCCGGGCTTCGCTTTCTGTCATTATTCTGCATTCTTCTGGTTATTCGAGCAAATCTTGGGGATTTAAACGTCGTTAAAAAATAGTAACGATTTCCTTCATGTCATTCATTTTTTCACACAACTCGTAGGCTACTGAGTAGAGACCACGTATTATAACGTTTAAATAACAATATAACAAGGATAGAGAGAAAAAAGAGTGTGTGTGAAAGAGTGACTAGGCTACATTCTCAATTTCGCTGGATTTACTTGTGTCTGAAAACGTCGCATTATTTTTGTTTTATGCAGCAACAACAAACACTTCAAAATTAAAATTATGAGTAAAACATTTATCGCTGATGAAATTTCTTTCAAATTTAACAAATATATAGTTATTGAGAGCATTTCCCATAAAATAACAATAAAATATAATTAAAAAAAACTTATTTTATTTATTATTTATTTATTCTAGTATTTTTACACACATCAACTGTTAACTCATAATGGTCATTAAAAATGATTTTACTTACTGTCATTTCTCTTCCCCCTAAAGCAATGAATTAAAATTTGCTCATCCATGTAGGTAATTGCTTTTAGCAATGAATCACACAAGCATTACAATTTTATCTGTTTATCTCTATCAGTGTTTGTATGAATTCTCATATATGCTAATGAACACATACATCACAGCCTATAATCTCTAGGTTTATTAGACCCCTCTGTGTTTTACACAATTTGGTTGAACCAGGCTAAATGTTTAGAAGGTGCCATTCCAGATCTGCTTTTATATTGTGACACTAAAACTATATAAGCATTGTAACTAACTATACAAATATAACTGAACTTGCTTAATGCTACCAAGTGGATTTGGGAGGTGAAAGTGGTGGTGGAAGTACACAAAGGGAACGAAAGACAATGCATTAATTAATTAATTCAGTTTCTTTTCAGCTTAGTCTCTTTATTAATCAGGAGTCACCACAGCGAAATGAACCGCCAACTTATTCTCGCAGCGGAAGCCCTTCCAGCCACTACCAAGCTTGGAAACATCAATACACACTCATTCACACACACACACACACACACACACACACACACACACACACACACACACACACACACACACACACACACACACATACTACAGCCAATTTAGTTAATTCAATTCACCTATACTGCATGTCTTTGGACTGTGGGGGAAACCGTAGCAGCTGGAGAAAACCCACACGTGGAGGACATGCACACCCCACACAGAAATGCCAACTGACCGAGCCGAGACTTGAATCAGGGACCTACTTGCTGTGAGGTGACAGGGCTACCCACTGCACCACCGCAGACAAGGGATAAATAGCCTAAAAAACAAAACTGCCATTTGAAATAAGGGAAAATATTTTTTTTACCCATTTATTGACCCATTACTAGTGTCATTTAATCTAATATCAAACATAAAACTTTATCAAAATGGCCACATAATACCAAAACAAAAACTACAAGTGCATCAGAATCTGAATAAATAGCAGATTTAACTCAATGAACATGACTTGGACAAAGAAACACAGTCACATGAACTTCATTAGGAATGGCCCATAGGAAAATCAAGTTTGGTAAAATTTAACCTCTGTTTTATTATTTTTTTTTTCTCTCACATAAATGTCTAAAAATGCCATAGCAGGAATTCAATGCCATGCATTTACATTATTCAGTTAAAATAATAACAATATTACTGGCAAAGGAGCTCAATTCATCTTTAAAGTCTCTCTAAACAGTGTTTTCAAATCTAAGAATAGTAAATTAAGAATAGTAAATATAAAAGTTGTAAGTTCAGCGCTGCTAGGAATTCCACATAAAGGTACATTCATCTAAACAGTTATGCCATTATTTACTTACCTTTATATTGTTTAAAATATGCATGTAGCTTCTTTATTCTATATAGGACATAAAATATGTGAGCATAACTGTAAAGTAACCAATCACTTTTTACAATGTGGGATAAAGCAGACCAATTCAAAAATATTTTGTGCTTTCTGGATTTGTCATTAAAATATATACTGTAGTTGATTCCCATAGAAGGTCAGTGCATGGCAACTATCAACTGTCTAATGGTTACCAAATTAGAATTTTCTTTTCTCAGTGGCTTTTATGATTGTAGTGTTACCATGCCAGGGATTGAGGCTACCACGGAGAATCTCTAGGGTGAGACATGTGAAAACAAATGGGCATACAGTGGCTGTCTGATTCATTGCCCTGGCATAGCCTTACAGCCACACCCTTTGAAATAGGACACACTTTATCTTAGTGTCTCTCTCTCTCTGTTCCTCACCCAGGTGAACTTCACTGTTCTGATGTCAGTAGTGTTGAAATGCAATGCCTCAGGCTGTGAGTGTTCAGAAACACTGGGCGGGTGTGGATCAAAGTGTGCAATCAGACCCCTCTTCTACACTCACAACCCCTCCTTTTCCTACATCTATTCCTCCCATTCTCTGTCAACCCCCATCCCTCAAACACAAGCCACTCCAATCACTTAATATGCACTCCCCCTTTCCTCCTCCGTTTTCTCAGTGACTTTGGTGGTCGGTGTTTCCACACAGCGCCAGCAGTAAATAAATCTGTATGGAGAGCAAAATCATCCCAGCACCGTAAATCTCAATCTGCTGCTGCTGTTCTATTCAGGTTGCTTTAAATCATATCAATGTCCCCTCTGTTCTGTATTCCACTCAAGTTTTTCAGTTTTTGTTGTGTACACCAGAGGATTGTAGATCTGACAGACTGTTAGCGTTTTTGAAGACACCTCAGGGATGTCGCAGTCTGGCCAGAGAAAGTGGATTCTTCTATCTCCAGAGGTTGTGCTAGGGCTGCTAATAGAGAGATTTGATGACAGAGGGTGCATCTCAATCAATCGCCTTGTTCAGTTGTCAGGGCACTGATCAGGGAGTCAGCCATTTTAAGGGATGTCTCAACTGCAAAATTCTTTCAGTGCACTGAAATGTTTGCTCCATAAAAAGTCAGAGCACATTAAAATCATAAAACATGAATCATGTAAACCAATGTTTTTACATTTATTTTATTTGTATTTTTTTTATTGAAATTTAAACTAGTGGTTGCAAATATGACCACATTTCAGGATTTCAATACCAATCCAAAATACCAGTCTTAACTTCTGTATTCCTATAACTCTTTTAGAAGTTTAGGTTTTTGTAATATTAACTTAATGAAAGTTCCTTGTTCAATACTGATACATAGATGGGATCAAGCTTTTTTTTCTCTGTTATGGATGTTCTGTGAAATGGTATAATGGCCTTAGAGTAACTTAGAATGGCCCCCTTTTTCAATCTCTTCTAAAAACTAATTTATTTTCCTTAGTTTTTAACTAGTATTAATCTGTTTATTTTCAGTTATGTTCTAAATTTTAGGATCTTATATTGCTCTTATATTCTTTTTATGTGCAAGCCCACAGCTGTTTTGAAAGTCCCTTTTAAATTAAACAAATACTAAACAAGTAACAATTTAGGAAACAGGGTTGATTGGTTAAAATTTTGCTGGTTTTCGAAATAATTAAATTGTTTATCTTTGACATACTTTTAAAAAAATGTACAATTCAAAGATCTTTCATGAAACTCTGATTACGCAGACTGAAAGGTTACACCTAATCTGCTCATATGTCATTAACAACATGGTGCAGGAGATGAGCTTGCTCTAATGAGCTTGCTCCTTAGTATTTTAAATGCCTCATTGTTGTATGTGCAGAGCGTTTTTTTTAAGACACTCCTCCAGCTCCACCTGTGTGATCTGCTAAGGGGGTTACTTATATATATATTTTGTTTGCAGCAGCAGTGTGTATATTCTCAGACTGCATGGCTGTAGTAGCAGATCTCAGTACATTTTATGCCATAATAAATCAAAGCAGCAGCGTAGCAGATATATAATCTAGACCAAACACATCAACAATGCCATGAACACATCACTATTGCCATACATATTAATTATCATACTAAATATCTCAGAAATGTTATGATTTCAAAAATGAATATGTAAAAAATATCAGTTCTGCTGTTTTTCATAAATTCCAAATTTGTTGATGTACTGCAAGAATGTTCTTATGTCCCAATAAGAGTTCCAATGTGTGGTAAACACAGTTTTAACAGTGTCCTTACACGTGCCAGAAATTGTGTACATGACCTGTGACTTCAGGACCAAGGGAGTTGATTGAGATTTACACAGATTCAAGTTTTGACATGTCCAAGGTGTAAGTGATCTTTAAGCTAATTGCACCACATTTCCCCTTTATGACAAGAACTGAGTTTGGATTATTTGTATGAATGAGGGAATGGATGTTACACTTTATAACCGAAAATGGCACAAAATACCATAAGAGTGGTTTACTGGATCATAATCATAGGATAACTGGTGCTATATAGAACACATATTTAAAGTTGCTATAGAGCAGTGGTGCTTAACCCTGTTCCTGGAGATCTACCTTCCTGCAAAGTTCAGCTCCAACCCTGATCAAACACACCTGAGTCAATTAATTAGGACCTGAACAGCACTTGATAATTACAGGCAGGTGTTTTTGATATGGGTTGTAACTGAAATCTGCAGGAAGGTAGATCTCCAGGAACAGGGTTGGCCACCCCTGCTATAGAGCTATGAACTGGAAGGATGGCAGGGGTCAAGTTGGAGCCAGAGGGACAGACCAGGAACAGGAAGGGTGATCCAAGCAGGACCAAACAGGGCACAAGTCTTGATGGGGACAGGAAGGGCTGGAGGCCTGACTGTAGCAGACAGGGCTGAAGACCTGGGAAGTCAGCAGGAGGAGCTTGGGCAGTGCTTGGATAGCAAGGAGCTGGACTGGGGCTGGCAGACAAGGAGCCTGGGCAGCGCAGACACTGGGCCAAATTCTAAGGTTGAAGCCATCACTGGCAAGAGCTTTGGGCTGGAGTCAACACTGGTGGCTACTCTAA